GTGTCCTGTATCATAGCTACATGAATGACATTTGCAGCAAAAAAAATAACGTGTGAAAATCAGTTCCCTTTCAAGGCGGTCACTTTGACATTTACGTCGATGACGTAGTATGGGAACTCCTCCCCTTCTTCACTTCTGCTGAAATCTTATGGGCTAACGCCAGCTGGACGCTCAGCGCAAGCTGTCGGTCGCTCTATGGGTTTTCTGGTCGTCCTCCACAGACACCTGTGGCTGACTCTGTCCGATGTTAAAGGGTTAGTTCACCCAAAAATGAAAATTAAGTCATTAATTACTCACCCCCATGCTGTACCAACCCCGTAGGTCTTACGGGGTTGGTACAGCATGGGGGTGAGTAATTAATGACTTAATTTTCATTTTTGGGTGAACTAACCCTTTAAAGATTCTGACCGGAAAACCCTGCTTAATGCTCCCATCACCCAGGCTGGTCTCTTTAGGGACGCGGTGGAGGCTGTCACGGAGCGTTTCTCGGAGACCCAGAAACGCGCCAAAGCCATGAGTCACGTGATCCCGCGTCGAGCACCCACGTCTCAGCAGCGTTCGCGCTCGTCTTCAGCCACTCGCCGCCATCAGAGTTCAGGGAGTCAGCCCACAGTGCATCGCACCGGGCCGGATGCTCGTGCTTCCCGGGGAAGACAGTGGCCAGGTCCTGGGAGGAAGAGCCATGGCCAGAGAAGGAGCCCGCGCCGAGGGAAGGACAGCGCGCCCCCCTCTGCGCCAAAGCCGTCTTCCTGACGGATTGGGCAAGAGGAAGAGAGAGCGCGAAGGGGGGCCGGCCTCCAAGCGCCGTGTTCATCGTATCCCTCATGTTCTGTTGAGAGACGATCGAATGTGTGTAAATGCTGTTTGTTCAATAAAAGCATGTACCCCTTCACAAAAGGAGCTTTTTCTTCCTCTTGCACCTCATATTGTGTCACCCGCCCTCTCACGGGACAGTGTAGGGCCACAATCTCTGACTATAATGGCATCTCATGGGCAAGAGATTGCCAGCACCACACTCAGCCCACCGCGAGCCGCCCTCCCGCCAGGGGTTTCTGCCTCGCGGGAACGCGGCTCCAGTCTAAACACTACACTGGTAGCAGCTATGACCACAGTTCGAGCTCACACTCTGAGTCATTTTCTGGGCGCGTGGGAATCAATTCCCGGGATTTCCCGATGGGTGTTAAGCATAATTCGTCACGGGTACTCGCTTCAGTTCAGACGCAGACCACCCCGCTTCAACGGCGTGATCCAGTCATTAACACTGCCCCAAAACGCCCCCGTTCTGAGACAAGAAGTGCTCAGCCTGTTCGAGAAAGGAGCTATAGAACCGGTTCCCCCGAACGAGAGGGAGAGCGGTTTCTACAGCCGCTATTTTGTGGTACCGAAGAAAGGGGGGGGGGGGGGGGCTCCATCCGATCTTGGACTTGAGACCGATAAACAGAGCGCTTCACAAGCGCGCGTTCAGAATGACAACTCTGAAGCAAATTCTGGCACAGGTTCGTCCCGGGGATTGGTTCGCTTCAGTGGACTTAAAGGACGCGTACTTTCATATCCAGATAGCAGCGCGCCACAGGCGTTTTCTGAGATTTGCGTTCGAGGGCACAGCTTACCAGTATTCAGTTCTCCCGTTCGGATTGGCTCTTGCCCCCGGCACCTTTTCGAAGTGTGTGGACGCGGCGCTGTCTCCCCTCAGGTTGAGCGGAATGCGCATCCTAAATTATCTGGACGATTGGCTGATTTTAGCCCATTAACGAGAGGTGCTAATCGGTCGTGTGGAATTATTACTCCGTCACCTGGACTCGCTGGGACTGCGTGTAAACGAACAGAAAAGCGTGTTCACGCCGAGTCAGACCACAACGTTTCTGGGAGTGTGTTTGAACTCTGTAACGATGCGAGCACATCTCTCTCAAGAGCGCATACAGTCTCTGGTATTGTCTCTGCATCGCTTCAGACCGGGCAGGTCTGTACCACTAAAGGAGTTTCAGAGACTATTAGGTCTGTTAGCGGCAGCCTCCCCGGTATGCCATCTGGGTCTGCTTCATATGCGTCTGCTTCAAATTTGGTTGAAGCTCCGGGTCCCTCAGGGGGCGTGGGCGACCGGCCTCAAGCGCATCACGGTCACTCACAGATGCTTTCGCACTGTGGCGCCGTGGAGAGACCCAGTGTTATTCAGTGTTATCACCGCTCCCAGGCTGGGGAGCGGTGTGCATGGGCGCGACTGCCTCCGGCTCGTGGACGGAGTCACAACGGAGGTGGCACATAAACCGCTTGGAGTTGAAGGCGGTTTCCTTAGCCCTCAAAGCCTTCCGGTCTCAGCTAGAGCGTCAACATGTATTGATTCGGACCGACAACACGTCGGTGGTCTCGTACATAAATCGCCAGGGGGGCGTACGCTCCAGGCCCCTATTCGAGCAGGCAGCGAGTCTCCTGCTGTGGGCAGACCGGCACTTCTTATCAGTGAGAGCGGCATATTCCCGGTGTTTTGAATCGCGGAGCGGATATGCTCTCGAGGAATGGAATTCCTCAGGGAGAGCGAAGGCTTCACCCGGGATCGGTGCAGATGATCTGGGATCGATTCGGGAGGGCGGAGGTCGATCTATTTGCGTCGCACGAGAACACACACTGTCGGACGTTCTTTTCGCTGTCTCGTTCCCCCCTGGGTCAGACATCCGACGCCTTGACTTTGCACTGGCCGAGAGCCAGGCTTTACGCCTTTCCTCCGGTGAAGATTCTGCCTCTAGTGTTGTGCAAAATCAGGGAGGAAAAAGCATCTGTGATTCTCGTAGCCCCGTATTGGCCGAATCAGCCCTGGTTCGCGGGCATGATAGAGCTGCTAGTGGACTCCCCATGGGAAATTCCTCTCAGGAGGGACCTGTTATCGCAAGCGAACGGCACGATATGGCATCCAAAACCCGGGCTGTGGAGCCTTCATGTGTGGCCGCTGCGGGGTCTTTAAATGAGCGAGACGCTCTGTACTCTCGCGCGTTGAGCACTATATCTGAAGCGCGAGCCCCATCCACTAGGCGCTTGTATAAGTTGAAATGGGAAGTTTTCTCTAAATGGTGTCAGAGTATCAGTATTGACCCGTGCAACTGTTCCGTGTCGGATATTCTAAGCTTCCTCCAGCACAGGATGGATAACGGGAGTTTACCATCCACAGGTGTATGTGGCTGCTATTGCTGCGTTTCACCCCCCGGCCGAAGGGCAGTCGATCGGCAAGCACGCGCTGGTGATCAGTTTTCTCAGGGGAGCTAGGAGATTACGCCCGTCACAGCCGCCTTCTGTGCCGCCATGGGATTTAGCACTAGTGTTGAGGGCTTTGTCGAATCCACCGTTTGAGCCTCTGGCTTCAATAGCCACCAAGGAGCTTTCCCTGAAAACTGCTTTACTTCTCGCTCTCGCTTCAGCGAAACGCGTGGGGGATATGCATGCCTTCTCGGTTCACGAGGACTGCATTCGTTTTGGACCGGGTGATTGTAATGTCACTCTTCGACCGAGACAGGGTTATGTTCCGAAGTCTCTCAGCACTCCGTTCCGAGCGCAGGTTGTCTTCTTACCGGCGTTATCTTCTGAGTCATCAGTCTCGTGTGACACCGATGCTCAGAGTGCTGTTTGCCCGGTCAGGGCTTTACGGATGTATATGACTCGCTCGGCCGCTTTTCGTCAATCGGACCAGCTGTTTGTATGCTTTGGCGGTTGTAATAAGGGACGTGGAGTTTCGAAACAGAGACTTGCTCACTGGATTGTGGAAGCGATTGCTTTGGCTTATGATTGCCAGGGAGTGGACTGTCCCCTAAGCATTAAGGCTCATTCAACGAGGGCGATTGCCTCCTCGTGGACCTGGTCTAGAGGTATGTCTATAAGGGACTTGTGTCTTGCTGCTGGCTGGTCTTCTCAGAATACATTCGCCAGATTTTATAAATTAGACGTCTCTTCTGTTGCGTCTCAAGTGCTTTCGGTGAGTTAAGCTGGTGTTATCAGCCCGGTTCCCTATTGTGCTTGCAACTGTCGCTGCTGCTTGTATTACATCCTTAATTGTGTTGTTCTGCCCTGAGTATTCAGTGCAAGGCTTCCCCCTATTTCATTTGCTTGGGATATGCAAATTTTGACAAGGTTCTGAAAGCGTGCTATTGGTTCGCTTCGACCTATCAGGAGTCTAGTTTTTCTAGTGATCAGTTATTGGATGTGGGTTCTGTCATTTTCGAGTGGGTGGGTCCTCTGCTCCACGGCGGGATTTGACACAGTTCCCATACTACGTCATCGACGCAAATGTCGAAGTGACCGCCTTGAAAGGGAACGTCTCCGGTTACTTTCGTAACCTCGGTTCCCGGAAAGGCAGGGAACGAGACATTTACGTCGAATGCCGTGTCGCTCGTTCATTCGAGCGTTCAGTCGGATTCTGATGCAATCGACGAACATATGCAATTTATACTGCCAGGCTAGGCAATATTTGCATATTTTGCGTCAATTGGCCAGCTGTCGTCAGCTGGCGTTAGCTCATAAGATTTCAGCAGAAGTGAAGAAGGGGAGGAGTTCCCATACTACGTCATCGACGTAAATGTCTCGTTCCCTGCCTTTCAGGGAACCGAGGTTACGAAAGTAACCGGAGACGTTCAGTATTCAGTGAGATATGATTAATTTAATGCGCTGACAGCTCATTTCACCTGCCATTCAGATGAGGAAGCTGAGCGGACTGGATGAGCGGAGCGGATGACCGGTTTAAGATGGCGGCTCCAATTCTCGTCCGTGCCAATAGGCAGTAGCATTCGATAGGGCGTCTACCTATATGATGTCTATGGTGCTCCCCCTTACCTGTGCCTTCCATTTCCTGTCACCTATGCCCCTTTAAATACAACCATGTGCATCTAATCACTGCCACCTAGTGTCTAAATACTAATATAAATATATCTATTTATACATTTTTATTGTAAAGAACATTTAACTGTCATGAAGATATAATAGGTTTAATTTTCTATATGAAACAGTCTTTTTCTCTTACAGTCAGTTTCTTTAATTCTTTATTTTTTGGTGATATTTGTCCCTGTACAACTTGTACAAATCATTTCAAATAAAATAAAACATTGAAAATGTGATAGTCATATTACACAATCTCCACCAAGATTAATTCTTCAAAATTTTCAGGGGTTTGCTTAGAAGAGTGAATGCATTTTTTTTTTCAAATCAATGTCAATTATCAAATCAATAGTCTTTGCTTGCCTCACTGTCCAAGGTGAAGTTAAAAGCAAAAGAAAGCAGAAGCAATATGAAGCTCTACCAAAAAGGGCACCTAAAGAGAATAAGATAGAGAAAAAAAGACTTTCAGCACACAACACTACACATATAACAGGATAAAATAACACTTTCTCGGTTTTACACTCCTTACAATCTCTTAAGAAAGACAATAAAACACATACCATCCAATGTAACACTGGCACAGGTTTTCATGCGAAGTAGCTTGTTTGATGAGCAGCTCCACTTGAGTAGGTACGTCCAGGGTCTCATCATGGGAAAAGTCTCGTCCTAGGAGTAAAAAACATTCACATGAATCCATTAATATTTGTTTCACTAGTTATTGATGTTTGATAATGTACAGTATGTTAGTGCTAGAATTGTGAATTAAGTCACTTAGAAATGTGTGCTCAGTCTTCTATGGTCTAAACGAGAAATGCCAGAGTTTTGCTTACCAGTTAGCTTGTCCCGCACCCTGTTAATAATTTGGATGGCTTTCTTGTTCAAGGCTTCAGGTTGCACAAGGCCATCTCCAACTGAAGGAATAAAAAATTAAGCAACAATGTCAATGACAAGCACACGGCCTGAAATCTGATTCTTACAGTAATATACAGAGTAAGCAGATTCTTTCTTTTCTTTTAAGACTTTATTATTGGCTTGAGAAGCCAACATACTGATCTATTTCCATTCAAAATTATTAAAAGTTGTGCCAGCAGAGCAAGCATGTCATCATATAATTGTATCTCATATTCACATGAAACAGGTGTGCATTATTATTTATTTATACTACGGGGCTGTTAAATGCTTGAATCTGATTGGTTGACGAATGTTCTAAGGTGTGCAATTATTTCCAGGGTAATGGACGCCAAAATTAGAAAGCAAACTCTTTCTCCCCCTCTCTCTCCCCCTCAAATGCACAAACAAACAGTACGAACACACACTCACACAGTAACATATTGAAGTGCTGTTTTAAAGATTTTATCAGTAGCCTACATGACATTTCTCACTAGCGAGGTAATAATGGCGTTTCTTTTCCTTTCGCTATTGGTCACCTGTCGTCAATTATTCTTTACATAATTGAATGAAAAGCAATTTCTTCCATGATTTTTTTTTTTTTGCCATTTTGGATTACTTTTGCGAACTAGTCCTAGGTTTTATAGCCCAATCGGAACCAAACCAGAGCAGAAATATGCTCTGGAGTCTAAATATCTATACTTTTAGAGTTTTAAGTGGGCAGGGCTAAATTTACTATAATGGTTATAGAAATAGTACACATATGTAAGAGCTCAATCTGAGGTCACAGTAAAAAAAAAAAAAAAGAAAAGGAAAAAAAAAAGAATGGCCTCTTGGTGGCGCTATAACATAAAAAACCTGAAAATGGCTATAAACATGGGCCTAGACCCCCAAAGCATTAATGTCATAAAGAACTCGATGTTTGAACCCAGAAAATTGCTGCTCGCAGATATATTTAAAGGTTCAAGCGCTGTTTATTTGGATCCCCATTAACCCTATTGTTATTGTTAATTTTCCCAAGATGCAGTATTCTCCATCTAAAACTGATACTCACACCAACAACGTCACCAAAGGCGCCCCAAACGGCCTGATGGGGGCTCTACAGCGGTCAAAAATACGAAATGACTATAACTCCTAAACTATTGGGCATAGGCTCAAGTGTCTTCTATATCGTTGGAGTCCTTGGCTCATGGCGGATAAAAAAACGTTTGTGAACTACTCCTAGTTTTATGGCTTGATCGGAACCAAACCACTGCAGAAATGTTCTCTGGAGAGTTCAGTTCAGTTCATTTCATGTTTGATGTGACTGAACTTTTTTCAGTTCAGTTCATGTTTGATGTGACTGGGGCCACTTTTTTACTAAAACGGCTATAACTTGTGAACGGAAAAAGATATTTTTGCTAAACTTGGGACACATGTTTATGAGCTCAATTTGAGGTCACATGAAAAAAAAAAATGCCACAATACACCAAGTAGGTGGGTTTTTGTAATGGTGTCATTTAGCGCTTAAAAATCTTGCGATTATCCTCGAAACCGTGCGATCGAGACAAAACCACCACAGGAAATTTGAAAACATAGGTCAATAGCTAAACAATAATGTCCAAATGTCAAAATTATGATAGGAACTGACATATAATCAAATCAATATCACCCATGGATAATTTTTATGCTCTGATAAATATAAGTGTCTAAACTTCAAAAAACAAAATGAGATATTTATAACAAATTTGACAGATATGTATGGACACACTTTGAGGACAACTAATAAAAGTGGTGGAGATCAGGCAAGACATGGTGCTATAACGGTCAAAAAAACCCAGCCAACACTGAATATATAATGACATACCCCATGGCTTCACACTAATGCAATACTGTTTGATGAGTAGCAGTACAAATAAACCTTAGTGGAAAACCTTAGATTTTCATTGTCCTGCAATCCATAGAGTCCATCCAATGTTTGGTAACAAAGAGTCAATGGTTCCATTTGCAGTGAGGCGAGCAGAGCAATAATCTCCAGTGATAGAGGTGAAACAGTTGCTAGGAGTAATCCACAATGATTTCAAAACCCATATGACCACAGTCAAGCTTTGAAAACACTATCCGGTAACACTTTATTTGAAAGGGTGTGCATAAGATTGACATGACACTGTCATAAACATGACATAACACCTGTCATGAACATAAAGGAGTCTTTATGAATGTTTATGACTTTTGTCATAAAGTGTCATTCGGTAAATTATGACACTTCTAATGCAAAGTTGACATTGTTTAAAATGTCTTTGATATGACAACTTGACATTAACACAGACAGAAATGTCTTGTTTATGACAACTTGACATTAACCAAGAAATCATAACCTGTCACAAATATGTCATAACAGGTCTAATTATCAAACTTAAAGAAGTTATTTAGCTTTGCGTTAACATTACATTACCCTGTCATATGTGGTTGGTTTTGACTTTGGCCGTCATGACACCATAACTCTGTCATGAATATTTTACTTGTCCTCAAGTAAAGTGGAACACATTTTATTAGTTATAAAGATGTCATTAAGGGTTATTACACTGTCAAATGCTGTCAAACAACAGTGTCATCAATATTTCCCCTTACCTCAAGTAAAGTGGAACACGTTGGACTAGTTATAAAGATGTCAGGTTTACAGGTTATGATTTCTTGGTTAATTTCAAGTTGTCATGACAAAGACATTTCTGTCTTTGTTAATGCCAAGTTGTCATAATCAAGACATTTTTTGTCTTTGTTAATGTCAAGTTGTCATAAAAAAGACATTTTTGTCTTTGTTAATGTCAAGTTGTCATAACAAAGACAATTTAAACAATGTCAACTTTGCATTAAAAGAGTCATAATTTACAGAATGACACTTAATGACAACAGTCATAAACATTCATAAAGACTACTTCATGTTCATGACAGGTGTTATGTCATGTTTATGACAGTGTCACATCAGTCTTATGCACACCCCTTCAAATAAAGTGTTACCCACTATCCTTAGGGTATAGAGTTCTCATGTTCAAGTCGAATTGCAGCATTGAGACTCATCGAACATATGACAAACAGATGATATTCAAAAAGTCCTTTTGATTGAGCTTGAAACCACAGTTTCTCAGTCTGGACTCTAAACAAATTGTGTGAGGATAAAGAGAAGAACCATTGCTGTGTCCCAATGTGAAGGCTGCGTCCTTCGAAGGACCCAGCCTACCCAGCCTTCGAAGGACACTCCGAGTGTAGCTGTTACGTGAGTATCGCGAACGTCTGGACTGGAGTCCTCTAATTAAGTTTAATTATGTTAATGTTGTCTTGTTTCCGTCTTTCTTAGTTTTGATTGGTGGTGCTCGGGAAAGACCAGAGATAAAACGGAAGGAAGTGTCCTTGGAGGAGGCCGCTCACCACTGATTCTTCATTGATTATAGTTTTGAACTTGAGTTTGGAGCGGGGAGTCTCAGCTGTGGGTTGTATTTCCAATTCTCTTCCCGTGTTGCTGAGCTCCCCGTCTCTTATGTTATGGTTAATTTGGGAGTTGTTTGAGTTATAATAAAAACATTATTTTGGATTATGTCTTTCGTTGTCTATCTTTTATGTTGTGGTCCCGGAATCCTAGACCCATATTTTATGGGACCGTAACATAAATGGGGGCTCGTCTCGTTTTTTTACATTGTTCTCGCATGAAATGCAGGTGAGTGAAGTGTTAATCTCATGATCTGTTTAGCTTGCCTTTGCTCTCCTGTTAGGCTGAAGAGGTGTCGTTCCTTAAATGTCACCTAATTTTGTTGTTTTAATAGTGTCACGGGGACGCGGCTAGTGTTAACTGTGAAAGCAGTTATCTCGGGAGCACATCCGTAAGATTTTGTGTGTCGTAAAGCGGCTCACAAACTTACTGGTTTATAGTGCATAAAAACCCGCCGCAGAACTGTGTGAAGAGTAAGGGTTAAGTTAGAGAGGTGAGATTTTGTTAGGCAGGATAGCTAGGGGGAAGCAAGGGCTGATTCTTGGTTTAAATGGTATACTGCCTATTTTGAGTAATCACTTCACTCCACAGTGCATTTGTATTTTGCGATTACTTTGTATTTCGTTGTTGGCGGTTTGAGGCTTGACGCTGTTTCTTTTTTCTTCCCCCGTCCTCTTTCGTTTCGAAACTGCGTGTTTTTCGGTCTCATTATGGATTTTGATTTAGAGGACTTTGTGGCTCACCCGAGCCTTGAAAAATTTGAACAATGTACTAAGAATCAGTTGCTTTCTATTGCTGCTCATTTTAAAATACCTATCTCAAAACAAGAAGCGAAACAAAATATCAAATCTCAAGTGCACGCTGAATTAGCCGAAAAAGAATTACTCCCTTCCCCCGTGAGCCCTTTTCCCCGTGCTGGTGCGCATCCAGATCCTGAGCTGCGTAAATTAGAGCTACACGTAGAAATGCGGCGCTTAGAGCTCAGGGAAAAAGAGCTTAAGCATGATTTTGAGCTGTGTAAATTGGAAATAGAGGAGACAGGAAAACGTGAAGCGGCCCGTCTCAGAGGAGCTAGACAGGTAGGTGAAGCTGGCGGTGCGGAGATGGACTATGACGTTAATAAATGCATTTGTTTAATTCCGCCTTTTTCTGAGAGAGATGTTGATAAATATTTCGTTTTATTTGAGAGGGTAGCAACGACCTTAAAGTGGCCAAAAGAAATTTGGCCTCTCCTGCTTCAGTGTGTGTTTACGGGTAAAGCCCAGGAGGCGTACGCTTCTCTTTCACCTGACGTAAGTTTAAATTATGATCAGGTCAAAGTTGCAGTCTTAAGGTCTTATGAGCTGGTTCCTGAGGCTTATAGGCAGAAATTCCGTAGCTATAAGAAAACCGAGGGCCAGAGTTATGTTGAGTTTGGTCGTGAGAAAATTGCGCTTTTTGATCATTGGTGTTCGGCACAAGACGTGAAAAATTTTGATCAGCTTCGCGATTTGGTTCTTATGGAGGAATTTAAAAATTGTTTACCGGATAAAATTGCAACATATTTGAATTGAACAAAAA